AATATTTTTTGAGTTATTAACGAAAAACTAAATACCATTTTTTTAAAATCTTATTTTGTTAATAACAATTGCAACTTTTTACCTGCACCAAAATCCATCAAAAACACTTTTCTAGAGGTGATTCCGAATCGAATGAGCTATCGCTCATATTTTTAGGACCTTTATCTCTATTTTTCATGTTTTTCAACTTGTTGATTAAACTAGTAATTTGAAGATTGACCCCTTTCCTGTTGATACATTGATCTCATATTTGGTTCACACATTTAATTTTGATGGCAATACAATTTAGTAAATTCAGTTTCATCGTAAATCCAAGATGGCCGCAGATACAACATGGCGGACTTCATATTTGTTTCACAACTACCTCAATATGGGTATCAAACGACAGGGCTTGACTAGTACTATAGTAGTACACGATAAAAAAGATGCAAACCCAATATAATCTATACAAAGGATGTTGTCAATCGGGATACTAGCATATTGAGGTATTTGTGAAAAAATATGTAATCCGACATTTTGTATTGTGAGTCTCTCAATAAGATGAAAGAGTCCTTCCTGGTCAATTATAAATGACTTAAAAGAAGAAACTCCAAGTCCTGATACTATAAATGACGTTTACTGCTTTATTGCAGAGAATATGCAACTTTCAAAAAACAAGGGGAAACTAATTCTGGAGTTCCACAAGGTTCTTTGTTAGGTCCCATTTTTTTGTTATTATATATTAATGACCTCACGAAGCTTAATATTTCTGGGAAGTTCACTTTATTTGCAGAAGACACTACCGTACTTTGGAATAATAAAAACACTTGTGAGTTGCACAAAATAATCTCTGCCGACTTGAAAAAAGTTAAAGATTGGTGATTGTCATCAAAACTAAATGTGTGGACCAAATATGACATCAATCTGTCCACAGGAAGGGGGTCAAACTTCAGTTATTGAATTTGACACAAACAAACAAACAGGGCAAGCTAAATAAAACCGTTTAAAAAACGAGCTGTATAGCAACCTATCATGTGGATTTACACGCTGAAACTTCGCATATGATTAAGAAACACCATGTATAATGATGCGTTTTGAAGAGCATGTTTCACATATTCGATTTCGTAGACCAGAGAAGTCTGTTGTCGCTAAACATGCCACAGAGAATTGCCACATGAAAAGTGAAGAATACTTGAAAATTGTTGATCTATGAACAGCAACAAAGGTCCCGTTGCTTGCTAGAAACCGCACGTTAAAAGGTGATACCTTAGCTCGTACAAGCTACCACTTCTTCAAAGGTTCATACATCTTGAGGTTATCTCCGAAGACTGGGAGTCGGACTCAAGATGTATGAACATCTGAAGAAGAAGAAGAATAAGAAGAAAAAGAAGAAGAAGAAAATTATTCAATTTAATCTTTATGTAAAAGAGTTCTCACTGAAAAATCAACTCACGCTCTTTGTATCCTAAAGACGGGATCCTTCCTATGGGCGAGCGAATAGATTTCATAAAAGCTGACAGTTTCCTAACGAATTCCTTGTTCTCGTTGTTTTCATGACATCGTGTGCTTCGACGAGGTCCAGCAACAGACTCGTGGCGCAAGCCATTCTTGTTGTCGCCCTTGAATTAAAGAAAAAAGTCATTTCACAACCGCTTGGACCAGCTTACAGTAAACTTATTTGTGTTTATTCATAGATCGGCAGCTCAACGTTAACCCGGTACAATCCCAACCGCTGTGGAAGTTTTTCTGTTACCTTTATCAGTGTTTTCGTTCATAGTGTCGGCTTATCGCCAATTAGTGCGTTCTTGTGATTTCAACGAGTGCTAATTTAACCGTCGAATTGTCAGCACTAAATCATCGTTATCACCAATTCATAAATAAAAACTGATTATTCGATTTTTTATTTATGTTGGGATCTCCAGGAGTTGTATACTTTTTTGTTAGACCGTGACCCAATTTATTTCGACGAAAATATTCACGAACAATTTTTGAAACACGATATTTCGAGAATGGGAATGCAAGGCAATGTCTCTAAATTCAATTTTAATATCAGTTGAATTGACATGCAAATACCCGAAAAGATTCCTACGAAAAATGTATTACTGGCGACCATAAAACAACGTAATTTCAAAAAAGAGTATATTATTGATGTAAGTGAAAAACTACCACTGAAAAATAATATACCGACGCCTATGTCGAGGCGGTAATTCCTTCTCTGTGCTGTTCCAATTAGTATAGGAAATACTATACCACGTTCCACCTGCACCAGAACCTACATCGGCCAGACCAACAGAAGAGTCTCCAACAGAGTCTATGAACATTAGCTTGCTGTTCGTAAATCAGATCCAGCCTCATCCCTCTCAAAACATCATCGTCACACAATAAGCTTCGAAAACACCAAAAACTCTCCAGATCAGGATAGTCGCCGCAGCTGTCTCAACAGACGAGATGATTGACAAAGATTACCTCATTCATGGAGATTATTACCGTCACGCCCCCCCTTCCACTTGTCCAGGGACATAAACGCACATCGAGAGACTGTACTCAAGTTCTATCATGGAAAAAGATAGATCATTTTCTATCGAATAGACTTCAATTCAATCATTCAGGAAAACTGATACTCACCCTGGTGTTATAATTATTCGCGGTGAGCGAGGATTCCGATTCGTTGCTGTCCGATGCGGGCGAAACGCTCCGTTTTTTCCGCTTGCCCCTAGGCCGCCCCTTCAGCTTGGGCGACAGGTGGTTGCACAACAGTTCGTGCCCCTCCAGTTCCGGATAGTCGAAGGTGTCCTTGCAGAAGAGCACCCTAGTGTTGGGGTGGATCACGTAGAAGCCGCCGAGAGCGTTGACGATCTTGTACTTCAGGTAGACGTCCTCTACGCCCTCCAATCTCTTCATCATGGCTCGGTAGCGGCAATATTTGGGGAAACTCAAGATCACCACGTGGGGGCCGGTTTTTTCCTGGCAGCCGTCTGTAATCAGGAAAGGAGTTAGGTTAGGTTATTATACACTTTGAGGTAGATCTAAACTAGAATGTAAACTTTCACGGCCGGGAATAACTGTGTCAAAGCAATTTTGCAGGTTTTTTGGCCGTGACATGCAGGTTTTTATGCCAGACGTTTCGTCTACCACTGCGGTAGACATCAAAAGTGGTCTAGCGATTGATATATTCATCCGATTACAGTTTCATTGAACAAAACACAGAGTTGAGAAACTCTGCCCCAAAAACGTTAACAAGTCATAATAATAAATGAAAAACAGTTTCTATAGGGTATTTCTTTTTCCTCCTCGTACTCGTCATTGAGCTCGCTGGAAATAATTTTATAACGTTTTAACAAAATATTAATACATTAAACCCAAAAGGGTATTTATTGTAATATCCATGTTCACGTCTATTCATAGTAGTGTTGTACTAAGGTTTTGTAATTTGATTCTTCAGAATCTTCTTGTATATACTTGCGAATAAGTAATTCAAAAAATAATTTAAAGTTCAACCTCAAACAAATATGACGACTATTACTTACTTGCAGGTATAGCACCGATGAAGGCGTAAAAGCCGAAAACGCTTTGCAATTTACAAATGAATTATTTACACGAAATACGACTCCATTTATGATTTATCAGTCACGTGTATGCAGCTTTGACAAATCTCACCTGTTGGAAGACCCTAAAATATTCTCTTGACTAATATTTCTTTGACTAGTGTTAGGAGCGTTGTTCAGTCCAAAAGGCTTCCTCGAAACTTCAAACAATACAGAGAAATACAAAGAAGACTCAACAATATTCTCTTTAACCAAGTTGAATGAATCTCCAGCTACTTCATTTTTAAATATGAAATAGTAATATTCCTCATACGAATGTTTTTTCATGGAGGAAAGCCAATTTTCCTAGTAATAAAACATATGAATAGTTTGGGACCCTATGAAACCAATCAAAGGACCAAACGGGTTTGTCTTATGGAAGTTTTCACCAAGAAAAACCGATTTGCAACACTGAAAGTCTTTGGAAAACTTGTGCGGCCAACGGATTAACGAACTCCTACCTTTTAATGTGCGATTCCGGAGACGGATGATAAATTACATCATTTTGGCGACAATTTCTGAAGGAAAAATTTTACGGTACATTTGAAGTAAAATTTTCAAGAGCCTTTGCTATTGATACTTAACCTAGTTGAAGAGAAATCTTATGAAACGAAACAATTCTTGGAGAATCGTTGCAAACCACTTGAAATGTTTATTTTAAAGGAATGTTTGTCTAGATAAGGATCCCCATCTGCATGAAAAACAATCAGTATAATATATAAGTGTTTCAATAACAGTTCAGTTGAACTAGTGTGAATCAGATTTGTGAGACAGGTATGTATAATAGGGCGAGAGATCAATATACATGGTATTACTGCTTTTTCGATGTATAGTGAACCTACTGGGTGTTGAGACTTGATGGTATATTGAGACTTGGTATATTTCGAACAAAAACCTGCCTATTGATTTTTTTTCATGAGTTCACATTTGATTTTATAATTTCTCAAAATAATATGTGAAACAGTCAATCATCGGGAGTTTATAGAGAGGATCCTGCTTGAACAATACGTATGCTCTATAAGAAGGAAAACGTTTTTTATACAATACTCATTGATAATTGGAAGAAAGCGCTTAACGAAAGACCCTATATGATGAACCAACAAAAAACTCCTTAACAATATGAAATATTGATTATGCGACCTTTTAATAGTACATCAATATAACAATTAACGTTCGATAATTCATGAAAACAAAGGAACTCGAAACCGTCGCTGAATGAGGTTGTTAACGTTGAACAAATAATGAATATCGCCAAAGGATTATTATAGATTCACAAAGGCTTGGGGACTATTCGTATTATCCTGTATATAATTATTTAACTATTCAAAACTGTGGATTCGAGGATATATTATCTAACGATGTAGTATTTTTCGTCAATTTTGTCCTTGTCTCGGCATGATATGAGACGATCAATATTCAAATTCACGCAGGGAATATTCAACACATTTTGAATACTAACCGACTCATACTCGTTTAATTGGGGTCACGGAATTATTTATAGACCCTCGTTCGTTATCTGTATTTACTGACATTTTTTGATTACATTTCTAGTAGGTAATCTGCATTTTACGTGAAAAGTCTGGCAATCAATTGTTTCTAGGCCCGTTTTCTAACCTGAAAATAAATTGATTTTGTCTGCATATACGGTTATGATCCGTCTTATATTCAAATTATTCAGACACGAGTCATGAACGAAAATAATGAACGGAAGTGGGTCTAAGATGCTTCCTTGGGGAATACAAATAATGTTTCAACTGGTTCAGATATATGATGGAATTGGTGGATTTTTTGTTTTTTTCGACACTGGATGCGATCATTTTCAGAGGTTGTCTACAAATTTATAAGCATCAATAGTCTAACAGTCTTGGAACTCTATTTTGTATTTTAGAGCTCGAAAAACTGTACTTTGGGGCCAAATACGAACTTCTCTTTACTGTTGCGAATATTTTCATAGGTAGAAATACAAGAAATCATTTTAGCGATTTTTTTCGGTACCAAAGTACAGTTTTTTGAGCTCTGCAATTCAAAATAAAATTCTTCGAAGTATGGTATTCATCGCCACAACAATATGTATCCTCGATATCACGCGTAGCATAACGGATTCTAATTTCGAATTCAAAGACATCGTCATTCAAACACGAAATACCAACAAACATAATAGATACGAATAGTCACAGGAAAACCACATTCGATAACGACCTTTTCCTGAATTATATTTCGCACGGCTTCCGTTCCATGGGGCATTTTGTTTCAGACCGTCGACATGAACCGTCTGCAGGTGTCTCTGTTTATAGTAGCCGCCCTTCTTGTGGCCGGCATCCAGAGTTTGTCCATATCGCAAGATGAAACTTCACCGCAAGGAGTTACGAATGGAAATGAAGAACTTTCCAGAAAGAAACAGTGCGTCTGTATGAATTGGAGGAACTGCGCCGGAGAAATTGATTCAGAGTGAGTACAAGTTTGGACCAACGACGTGGGTAGTTTGTTTTTTGTGCTTGCAATATTTTAGCGTTATTTTGGCTGTAGTAATGTAGAGTTTCAGATGGACCTCCCAGATACCCTGACTTTATCCCACTTGATTTTTTCTGTGAGGACGTTTGTCTTATTCTAGTGTTTTTCATCGATTTTTGTAGCCACTTCAATGACTAGTTTACCAAGTTACCAATTTAGACGTTGCTCTGTAGGAACCAAGAGCTTCCAATATAATTAAAGTGNCGACCTACTTTCCCTATCTAAATAAGGGTCGTCGGACGCACCCCTCCGAGGGGGTGCGTACTACAAATAATCTGGTTAGTCTGAAAGGTGTCCTCCTTTAATTAGAAATCGACGTGTCCGAGCTTCTTTTAAAAATCTTACTTTTTATATTCAAAAACGGCTCTGTTAAGTTTTCGTTGTTACACACTGTATTTGTGAAAGAAAGGTTTCGGTTTCCTACTATCTCTTGATGTAAGTAACCAGGTTCAATGCAACGCCACGAAAACCAAGCCATCGGCTTTCTGCAGAAAGATAAATGTCTCCGAAACGGATATTATATCAGGATTCCTTTCGAAAATTTGTTTGAATTCCTATGAACTTGACAGGCGTTATCTTACCTCTGTTCAAATTATGAAAGTAAAAAATGTACTAACGACGGTAATTTCCAAGTTAAAAAAGCAATTACACCGAATTGAAAGCTAACAGGGCCACGTACGGGTAGTCCATAGATAACCAGAACCGATTAACAAGACTATATAACAAGTGTCTAGCAGTCTAGTGAATAATTTTGACTTCCGCAATGCACTGTTTGAAAGCATTTTTCCTGGTGACGGCGCTTATTATGACGATCGCCATTAATTCCTCGATAGCAAGAAGCAACCATACTCTGGATATAAACTTTGACTTGGATGAAAACGCATGTGAATGTAGGGAGGAGAAATTCTGTTCTGTTGACGTGAATTCCGAGTGAGTATAGTTTTTCGATAAATTAATACCAATAAATTCCTTCAATGTACAAAAACAATGAAACAGTTGAAGGCTAAGTGGTTTTTATTATAGAGTTTCACAGTGAACAGTGAACAGAGTGTACCTCAAAGCTCACTCCTTGGACCCCTACTATTCGTCGTTTACATTCATGTCTTATTTCAACAGATGATACCGATCAGAAATGTTCTTCTTGTCGATGTCACTACTTTTATCAATCGTAACAAGGACGTTCAAAATATCTTGACTTTTGATGAGTTTTCGTTAGAAAGGGGAACAGTACTAATTCACCGGTAAGTTCGAGTTGAAATCAAAAATTATTGGTATCTTTCCACTCCAATACTGTATCGCGATTTTCTGACAGACATAAACTATGGTTTAATGATAAACTTAAACGTCGCGTCAAAGCAGTTTTAACTCATCTTCTTTGACGCCTTCTCCATCAGTTCATCCTTGAAAACTTTGCCTTGAATTTCAATATATTTATTTTAATTTTATTATTTCAGAGTGGAATGCGACGAACCGGGGACGGTCTGTTGCATACTCAAAACAAAGTAGCCTTTCTTTCTCAAGAAAAACCTGGGAAAAATGGACCGAGACACCCACCAACAATATATCTAGAGCTTAAATAAAACTATGATATTATCAACATGTGTATCAATAAAACTGTTGAAGGTTTCATTTTTTTTCACTCACTTAGTCACTTGGAATAGTGACAATGTACTTGTGTCTAGCCAAAGAAAGTTAGGGAAATAGTTAGTCCATGAAACAGAGAAACAGATAAAATTCAAATATTCTCCAATACTTTACGGGTATGAACATTTTTCGGTATAAAATTCACGAAGACCGGGTTTCAACTAGTGTTACCATTGATATTATCATTATTATTATAGCTAGGCAAAAATAAAAATATAACATACTGCACTGGACTTACCAAGTAATACAAAATCTAACAATTGCGTTGTTAACTATCAACAACTGCTGCAGACATTCAATTTGAATGAGGTCAAACGAATAAAGATGACAAAAATTTGGGTAGCAATTAAAAATTAAAAAAAAATTGCTAGCACTGACAATACTTGAATACTAAACTCCAATCGACTCACCTAACGCTCTCCTTTCGATTTCCACGTCGGAAAAATCCAAACCGCTCTCGCACAAACTGAAACTGACGCCGGTAGCTTTTTTTGGCAACACGCACTCCGTTTCGTCTGATTCCGGGCCACTCTTCATGTCTGTTTCGCACATAGCGAGCCTACCCCAAGTCCACTCCGCTTCCGTCGTGATCCACGTCACTAAATCATCCACCCGTATGACGACTTTTTCGGAAATTGCCAGCACTTCATCCTGAAAAAAAGTAAAGAAAATTAAAGAAGGCCACTCTATCCAGAAAAAAAGGAAGAAAATTGAATAAGGCCACATCATCCTGAAAAAAAAGGGAAGGAAATTAAAGATAGCCACTTCATCCTGAAAATAAAGGGAAGAAAATTAAAGAAGGCCACTTCATCCTGAAAATAAAGGGAAGAAAATTAAAGAAGGCCACTTCATCCTCAAAAAAGGGAAGGAAATTAAATAAAGGCCACTTCATTCTGAAAAAGGGAAAGAAAATTAAAGAAGACCACTTCATCCTGAAAATAAAGGAAAGAAAATTAAAAAAGGCCACATCATATTGGAAATAAAGGGAAGAAAATCAAAGAAGGCCACTTCATCCTGAAAATAAAGGAAAGAAAATTAAAAAAAGCTACTTCATATTGGAAATGGGAAAAAAATAACAGAAAAAAGGAAGAAAACAGAACAAGGCCATTTCATCCTAAAAAAAGGGATGAAATTTGAAAAAGGCCACTTCATCCTGAAAAAAAGGAAAGAAAATAAAAAAAGGCCACTTCATCCTGAAAAAAAAGACAATAATTAAAAGATGCCACTTTATCCTGAAAAAAGAGGACGAGAATTAAAGGAAGTGGCCTTCTTCATCTTGAAAAAAAGAATAAAAATAACAGAAAACAAAGGTAAGAAAATTAAAGAAGGCCAATGATGGTTTATTGAAATATTTTTATAACATTGATGGCTGTAGTTGAAAATAAATGCACGTCTATGCAAGTAACGTGACTGTTCAATGCTTTCGAGAATGATACTAGATTCATTCGTTATGGAATAGCAGACGAGAGAAGATGTGATAAGTAATAGACCGTAAGTATATGCTGAGTCATGCATTTTTATTATATTTATAGTCCTTTCATTCAAAACGCCGCCCTTTCATGGGTCTTTTCAATCTTGAGAACAGGAAAAAATCGCAGGAGGGCAAGTCTGGTAAATACGGTGGCTGAGGCATGATTAGTGTTGTTTTTTAGTCAAAATTCAGCAACTTTGATACGAATTTCGCTGTCACACGCTTCGTGCTCGAAATTTCCGAAAAAATTGCATGGCAACTTGTCTAATAGTTTTTCTCAACATTTTCATCGGTTGTTGATGTGCTGAGGCGTTCAGGTCGAGCGTCGTCATTCACATTTCTCACAACAAACTAAATGAAAGTTATTATATACAATTATTCAAAAAAATTACCAATTTTAGTAAACGAAAAAGAATCAAATAATCAATGAGTTGTTCCCAATGGAAAAATTATCCGTCCGCTGATGGCAAACCTTACTCTGAATTCTAAATAACAATTTATATCGGCTCAAGAGGGGATGGAGGTCGGAAATACTGTTTCTATGGGAACTTTGGGAGAAGGCCTGCGCATTTTTGAATCCAATTTATTAGACCATAATGTGTGTGTGTATTACATAAGGAGCGGCATTGAAAACCCTCTTCCGCAGAGGAAAAGAGCAATGATCTATCCATTACTTTTTGTTGGTTTCTGATCTGTTTCATCGAATATTACGACTTGAATTGTCACATTTAGGAACATATTTGAAGATGGTAATGATATTTCTCGACGATAATCATTTTGAACGTTCAATATAAACATCTCAATATGAGGAGATGGATAATCACGTTCATAACTAAATGAAACTGATTTCAAAAGAAATTTTATTGTCTAACATCCATCCTGTTTCATGAAAATCAATTAAAAACATTTCAGATATACAAAAGAGGAAATATGACAGAAAAAGTGATCAATTTCCCAGTAACCGAATGAATCATACAATTTTTGTTTTTATTCCACACTTCAGTGATTTTGATTCATTCGCTCTCTCTATTAAAGAACTTGAACTAGATTGAACAAGTTATTTGTTGATTCTTTAATTCTTATCTTGAATTCTTTGATATTCTATCGAGGCCTACAAAGATTATGTTTTTTCTGGCGACGTACCGACCGACCGACTCACCAAATGACGCACCGACTGACTGACTCATTGAAGGACCGTCTAACCGACTGACTGACTCACCGACTGATTGATTCACTACTGGTTAACTGACTCACGTGTTTACCGATTGATTGACTCACCGACTGACTGACTCATTGACCAACCGACTCACCGACTGATTGACTCACTACTGGTTAACTGACTTACGTGTTTACCGACCGATTGACTCACCGACTGACTGACTCATTGACGGACCGACCAACCGGCTGTCTGACTCACCGACTGATTGACTCACTACTGGTTAACTGACTCACGTGTTTATTCAATGACTGTCTTACTCACTACTGACTGACTGACTCACCGACTGGCTGACTAACCTTCTGACTGACTCACTGGGAAGAGAATCGCACAAACGCTTGTGCATGGCGATCTGTCGCCACGCCAGCAATCGGTTTTACGTGCGGCTATAGATGTTTTACATGAATAATCGTACTATAAAATGATATAGAAAAATTGAATGACCGTTGTATAGCATAGGCAACTATTTTGAATCATAAAATTGAATTTTATAAAAAAATGCGTAGTGTATTAGCTGGGAAAATAATATTTTCCGGTCAGGTTATGGTCAACATGTTTTGAATTACATTCGAAAACTGTATTTTCGAAAGAAATCAATTCGACAACTTGAAACTTCGAATAAAAATAATAAAATGTTTTCAGACCAATAAATTGCAACTGGTGAAACAAATTGAAAATCGTAGACCCGTTCAATTCCCAATAAAAGTAATCTTCCCTCGCATGAAAATAAAACTTTTCCCTCGACCATTAAAAAATAAAAATCCAATTTACGATCTACTATGTTTGTCGTATCGATCCGAGCTAGATAGAGAATCCGTTGTGCTCCTCGCAAAACTCCTGTCATAAATAATATTGTCATGATGTTCGAAACCTGCTTTATACATTATTCACAAGTTATTTCGAGTTATTTAACTTGCTACTTTGAAGGCAAGAATTTAATTAGAGGCTTTTTTCCTTTTTCGCCGTCTCCGAACGACAAACAACGTTTATTCCGTTCCCGTAAACACCGAATAAATAACTTTTGACTTTTAGGTAATTGGTTCGCGGAGTAGAAAGATAAAAGCGATAGCGTTTAGGTTCGATTCACTCAATGTATCGGCTGAATTGAATTTACATTAACAAACGATAGACATTGAAGATATTGATTTTCCTGGTACATAATGTTTATCAATTCAAGCCTTGGCTTCAACAGTATTTTTTTCGCCAAGAAGCAATGCTTTATTAACACACACACACACAATTATCAAACTTTGGACGTGATGACTTGTAATTTTAACCTACATATGGTATCAACCCAGCTCTTAGTATCATTATAGAAAATGTTCCTACATACATTGAAGAGAAAATCATGTTTTAACAACAACATTACATTCCACAACTTTCAGTTGACATTTCAAGTATACACGTATAATTGGTGTCAGGTGTGGGGTCAAAAATCGTTACATCATTCTTTCATTTGTTGAATTCATTGAACGACACATTAAAGCATAATCTTTCAATGTCACAGGCTATTAATACAAAACTTTCCTAAACCCAACCATTAACATATTTTCAACAAAATTAAACACAAAGTTCTGGAGGTGGAACGCCAATTCTTGAACTGACTCGACTTTTCACTGGTTAATTACACTCCGCCCGATACGAAACTAAAGTAAACTCATGGCTGAACTCGTTCAGAAATTTTCGATATAACGAAAACTCCGACTCCAGTGAGCTTTGAGAATAAAACGATTTTTGTTTTTGTTGCGTCTGATGCGGAGCGAGATTCGCATAGCCATTGAAGGTATTTCGGAATATTCTTGGACCTTATTAATATGTACGTTTGGATGGTTTCCATTCACGTTTGATTTTTGTTCTATTTCCAAGACTTTGTATGAGGCTGTTTCAATGTAAACTGTCCAGCGACTTGGTTAGAGAAATACGTGTCGAGAGAGAGAGAGAGAGAGAGAGAGAGAGAGAGAGAGAGAGAGAGAGAGAGAGTATTTTAAATCTGGTGGCGAAGTATTTTTAATAGTGTTTTCACGTTACACCAGATATTCCACATTCTACAGATCAAATATGTATATAGTTATAATAGTCAATGAATTTATAATGGAACCCCCATATCTGAAGATCTAACTTGATTACAAACCGATTAGAACTTCACTTTTCATCCAGCACCACTCGAACCGAATCACAAATTACACGACTGCATAAGTTCGCTCATAAAATCAATCGACTAATTTCATTTGAATCGTTTCGACCAGCCCTTTGGTATTTGTATTTTGTCGTCGACGAAGAATTTAATATAAACCTAACTTTACGAATACCCGGAGAAATAAAAGGCGTGAGAGGAAGACGAGAAGCGCCTTTTCTAACTAGTTTGCAGAGTCGGGAAAGGAATTTTCGGTGGGCGGGTCGAACAGAATCCTTCGAGATGTTTTTGTTTCACCGAGTAATGTGTAAGATAAGGTATGTTCTGAACTTTGAGCCTACATCTTGATGTGGCAACAATGTAGCACGAATATTTGCACAGAACACTAATGTCAACTGTCAATACCTAATTTAGAGAGCTCTGTGTTATGAACCGCTGGAACTGTTGAGTTATTTCAATTCTGAAGACTGTTTAGAGAGATTTAAATCTCTTATAAGATCATTTAACTCATTTTGGGAAAAACACTCTGGTTCGTTTGACATACCTTCAAAATCAGTATCATTTTGTGGTGAACTTAGTCGTTCATTGTCTTGTTCTAAGGGTTCAGATATATTTTTAGGCACTGAAAGGTCAGGCAAACGCTGCACTGGAAGCTGAACACAACTGGTACTTGGGTACTGTCATTTAGCTTGTTTTTTAGTGTTTAAACCGCTTATGTTCACACTACAAAAGGAACAGTCATCGGTATAATTTTTGGTTCTCGCCAAATAGTTGGTGTTTCAAACTTAAAGGCACTCCTTTTACCACATTTCCATAATCTTACATACTCC